ATTATGTATTTACTTTCCAAGCTTGGTGGGCCTATGATGTCTATTGTGTACTTGTTGTTTTGGTACTCATGTTATACTCTGCATCTATTTTTCCTTATGCATATTTGAGCACCAGCTAGCAGCATTGATTTATGTGTAGCACCGGGAGTTTTGGAGATAGAGGGTGAGTTGTTGGCATCCTAGTTTGACTCATCTCCATCTAAATATAGTTTTGACTAGTCTTTTATATTCGAGACAAATTTGTACTTATTTTGGTTATTTTGTAGCTTGTACTCTTTTAGTAGCTTTGTACTTTATTATGTTGTTATATCCTCGTTGGTTGTTGATTCTACCCAATATGCCTATTACTTATCGTTCTTGGATAGGGGTCAATTTACCTACTAGTTAGTTTTTGGTAAATGTCATCATGACTCGAGGTTTCAGATCGTGACATTTTGAAATTCAAATTGCATGTCTATACAATAAGTAAACATTTGGTAACTTACTAGGAGGTAAGTTATTTATGTATTAAATTCTAAATAAATAATACAACATTTGATAAAAAAAAATTCCTATATATAAATAATACGGTAGTTGATTTACAATTTAAATAGGCATATAACTAATATATGTATAAATTTTCTTTTTTATTGATAACTAAATGATGGAAATGAAGGCACACTGATTGAAAAACACAAGCTCTAATTCACAGGGTTTTTGAGTTCAAAAACCCTCACTGCTACAAGAATTTTTTTATCGATCATGGCCATATTGGCCACTGGTCAGCCTGCTTCGGCAGGCTGACCAGCAAATCTCTCTCAATTCTAGTACTCAATTCCCCTCTCTATCGAATTCCAATTCAATTCCCATTAGAAACCAAGATACTGGAAGGATACGCCTGACGAACCTAAAAGTTTGCTTACTGATTTGGTTTGTGCATCTGCTCAAGGAGGCAAATATGTTGACCTTCTTAAACCTAATACAATGAATCTATCTCAAAACATCAAACCTACTACTGTTACACCTATTCCCATCAAACAACCTTTGTATATCAATGGTATTCCAAGAATAACATGGAATGAAGATGAAGTTAGGCAGATGAACACCATTGAAAACTTGCAATATGCGGCGATAGGGAAGTTTTCCTATGGGTGGCCAGAGATGGATGATTTGTGAATTCAAAGTCCCAAACAATGTGATGTGAAGGGTGGATGTAAGATTGGGTTACATTAATGCGATTTGAATTGATTGAAGATTTTGTGAATATGATGTCGAAGATTCATATTACATCACAGGCAAGGATGGTACAGCATATCAAATGCGACCTCTCAATATATGATGGAAAATTAAAAGTGGATGAGGAAACGACTCAAGCCATGGCCTGGATTTCCTTTCCTGACTTATGGCCAACCTTTTTTGTTAAGGAATCTTTATTCTCACTGGTCTCTGCTGTATGGAATCCTATTCATTAGATATGGCAACAATAAATAAGACACAACCTAGTTGTGCTAGAGTCAAAGTTCAACTGGACCTACTTGCTGATTTACCCAAATTTGTAGAATTGGAGATTGAGGATCCTATATCTCAATCATCAAGAGTGGAAAGAATTAAAGTTCTATATGATGTTTTACCAAAATACTGCAAAAAGTGTAAACTGCAAGGACATAATGAAGATGATTGTGAGTTTTGCATCCTGAATTGAAGAAGGATAATTAGATTGAGGTGGCAACAGAAGCAGATCCAACAAAGAAGAATGAGGCACACAGGAATCAACAAAAACTTTTCAACAGTGGAATCCTACTAGGAGAAGATTCACTTTGGAAAAGGGCAAATTTTGTGATAATGCAAGAGATCCAGAAGAAGATGATATAATCACTAAAAATCCTTTTGATGATTTACCTGAAATTGGGTTAATCAATCATTTTACAAGAGGAGAGCACCAACTCAAGATGCTAAGAAGGATAGTGGTGACCAAGAAGGTGCTCTCACTGTTGGTGAACATGTGCAGCAAAAGGATAAGGAAAATGGTGGAGATGATACAACAGATACATCAGAGGTTGTAACTACTGTAAGTAAGGCTATAACTGTAGTAGTCTGCAGTGACAAAGAGCAAGAGCAGCAACAACTACAAAGTCAGCAACAAACATTATACAATGCAGAGATGGGAATTGCTGAGTCCAGCAAGACAAATAGTGACTTGTGGTATGATAATTTAGTGCAGAACAATGAATAAATGAATATTGAGAAGGTGCAACAGCAGCAACAAGAACAACATTTAACAGGCTTGGAGAATACTAATGAAGAAAGTAACTTGCAAGATGATGTACAACAGCAACTGATTGATGTTGAGAAGGATAGTAATAGAAGTGATCTGCAGGAAGTTGTTCAGAAGCATCTAGATGTGGTAAATAATGTAAATAATCTGTTGGACAGTGAAACAAATGGAATTTATGGGGATAAGGGGAAAGATGCATATCCATAAGTCGAGAATGAGCAAGTTGACAAAGGTGGAGACAAAACTCAATCACAACAACAAATGGTGGAAAAAAAGATGGAGATAGAAGGGTTAATTGAACCATTACCACAGGCAATTGTAGCTTCAACAGTTGATTCTCCTGTTAAGGTCCTGCATGACATTGTTGCACACAATATAAATGAGATAAATGAACAACAACATGTGGAAGTTGATGACGAAATAAGCAAGGAAGATGCAGATGAAGATCAAAATCAGCACAATCTTAATCATGCTTTGAAGGTGGCAGATTTATCTCCAGATGTTCAATCAAAGGGGAAGAAAAATAGGGCTAATGCTGAAACCAGTAAGCCCACAAGAACTATTCCTAAAAGGAGTACTAAATCTGTTTATAAATGATTCAAAAAGCACTTGTATGGAATATTAGATCAGTTAGAACCCAACATGCTTTTTATAGGGTTCAAATGCTTAACAAACATCATAAGTTCTTCATCATAGGACTACACCTAAACCCCATCTTAAACCTAAACCTTACAAACACGATCGTCTATGGCCACGCCGGCCGGTGGCCAACCTCCCACAGGGGTTGGTTTTCCCACCATAATCAATCCTACCATCACCACTAATAATCTTGACTATGCTGCTGCAGTACATAATTCAATCGCCCCACCAATGACGGAATATATAGCTATTAAGCCTATTATTTTCTTGCATGGGGAGCCAACGATTACATGGATAAAGAAGGAATTTGAGAAGTTAATGGTGAGACAAAATCTCCAATATGCTGTGGTAGCTAAGTTTTCCTATGGGCGTCCAGATCTATACGAATTGAGGAAGGCAATTCCAATTCAATTGGAAATTAAAGGACCATGCAATATTGGTTTCTTAGAGGAGAGGCACATACTGATTAGATTATCATTACTAGAGGATTGTGCAACCTTGATGTCCAAAGCTTGGGAACTAAAAGTAAGGAATAGATATTTCCCCTTAAGATTCTTAAAGTGGGATCTGTGGTTCAACCCAGAAGAGGAAACAACCATTGCCATTGCGTGGATTTCGTTTCCCGGATTGCCAACTAATTTGTTTGATAAAGAATCTCTTTTTTCTTTGGCAACAGCTGTGGGGAAGCCTCTAGTGATTGACAAAGCCACTAACAATCAAACCAGACCTAGTTGTGCGAGGCTTAAAGTGGAAGTAGATTTGCTAAAAGAACTACCAAAAAAAATTCAAATCAATTGTATAGAAGAGGAGACAGGAACAGTGAGATCAAAATGGCAGAAAATTCAAGGACACAATTTACAAGGATGTTGGGTATTAAACCCTGAGCATAGTCCAAAGAGATAAGAAAAACAAGAAGATAAGAAGCTAAACGACAAAGGAAAGGATGAAGAGGAGAACAAAGGAAAACATATACCAATCATGAATGGAGTATTTAAGAATGGAAAGTAGATTCATGAAAATTGGAATGTGGTTCAAAATAAAAATAACAAGAATAAGTTGCAGCATGACCTAAACCAGAAGGAATATGATACCCAGCAGAATCACTACAAAAACAAGGGTCACACGATTAATAAAGGTGACAAAGTAACAACTACCACTTATAAATTTGAGACTTTAGTGGACCTCACTGATGATAAGCAAGATGGAGCAAAGAGAAATGTGGAAAGATCAACAAGTGCTAGCAACATTAAAGGAGAAGATACGACTAAGCAATGGGTAGAAGCAACCTTTGGCAAAAGCCATAATGCAACAAAGATAACCAACAGTCGAAGTGAAGATAACATTAATCAGAATAGCAAATATATAGATGATGAAGTAACACACAATACCGACAATATGGGGAAACAAAATATACAGGAAAAAGACAAAATATACAGGAAAAAGACATAATACAAGAAAATCAACAGAATACAGAGGAAACAAAAGTTAGTAAGGATACAGAGAATAATTTGCATATAATTAAAAGGTGCATACAGATTCAGACAGCCCACAAGTTGTGTTCACCCCACAAAAACCACCAGATAATCCAACAATACAAGGAAATCAAGACCTTGCAAATTCAACAGAAACAGCAACATTAGTAGTAGCAGACACACACCAGGGTAATCAAGACAATAACATAGAAACTCAAAGCAAAGACAGAGAGATAAGTAAAATAGAGGAGAATAGTAGTCAGAAAGGGGCAGAGAATCAGAATATAATAATAGATACGACAGAAAGGCAACAACACGGAGAACATAAACATGAGGTCTATATTGGAGATGATGATGAACTGGAGAACAGAAATAAAGAAAGAAAAGAAAAATATTAAAGGAAGAGATAAAAGTGTACCTCCAAAGGCAACTGGAGGTATACTAACAAGGAAAGCCCATGCCAATACTATCTCTCAATGAATTGCTCACTTATATGGAATATAAGGTCTATTAATTCACAACGGGCTTTTGAAATGGTAGTAATGATGAATAGGCAAAAACATTTTAACTTTGTAGCCTTGATGGAACCTTTTCAACATTATAGACACATTGACATGTATAAATTATGGTTGAATATGGGAACAGCTTGTCATAACTTAAATGGAAAAATTTGGTTATTTGTGGAAGATAGATTTCAGATGAAAGTACAAATGGACACAGAACAGCTACTATCATTCAAACTCACATATATTGATGATGGACATGAAATACATGTGACACTAGTACATGCTAGCACAGACAGACATACTAGAATAGCTCTATGGGATGATCTATATACCATTGCAACATCTATGACTAGCCCATGGTTAGTAGGTGGAGATTTCAATGTTATTATTGATGATCTTGAAAAGTATGGGGGATTGCCAGTACAATTCAATGAAACTGAAGACTTTATTCACTGTAACAATACTTGCCAGCTAACAAACTTGGGCTTCAAAGAAAGTATGTACACATGGTGGAATGGTAAAACAGATGCAGCCTGCTTATTTAAAAGACTTGACAGATGCTTGGGGAATCAAGCCTTGCAGGATTTATTCCCTAATTTAGAAGTGGAGCATCTTATCAAACAGGGTTCAGATCACTCTCCCCTAGTAATAACAAGTGGAGTAGATAGAAATCCAATCAAGAAAGCATTTAGATTTCTAAACTTTTGGGTGGAACATGAAGCTTTTCAGAAAGTTGTAGCAAAGAACTGGCAAGAAGATCATAGTACTGATCCTTTCTTTAACCTTTACAATAAATAGAAAAGGGTGAGTAAGGCACTATCTAAATGGAGTAAGGACTCATATGGAGACATATTCAGACAGATAGATACTCTGGCAGAAGTGGTACAGAACCATGAGCAAGAATTTGAGAATAATCCTACCAGTACTAACAGAGAAAGACTACAAACGGTGCAAGCTGATTCAATCAACTTATATGCAGTAGAGGAAAAGTTTTGGAAACAAAAAGCAGGAATGCAATGGTTTGTGGATGGGATAGAAACACAAAATTTTCCACGCACATGTTAATGGAAAAAGAAGAAGATTGCAAATAAAAAGAATTCAAGATGATAGAGGAGAATGGCTAGATAAAGAAGAAGAGATAGCGCAGGAGGCAATCAGATTCTACACAAACCAATTTACAGAAGAAAAACTCCCTAGTGACTTTGACATGCTGAAATATATACCTAAGATGGTATCGGAAGAAAAAAATGTTGTAATTAATGAACTACCAGAGGAGGAGGAAGTTAAAAATGTCGTATTTAGACTAAACGCAGAGAGTGCTGGAGAACCAGATGGATACACCGGCAAATTCTATCAGGCTTGCTGGAATATAATTGCAAAGGACATGACAGAGATGGTGAAATCTTTCTTTTGTGGGCACGAGTTGCCTAGGTACATCACATGTACAAATCTGACACTAATTCCAAAAAAAAAAGAAATCACTACTTTCTCGGATATGAGGCCTATCAGCCTAAGTAACTTCACCAGCAAAGTGTTTTCTAGAATTATCCATGATAGGTTGGCTAAGATACTACCAACATTAATATCACCCCAACAATCAGGCTTTGTTAAAGGCAGAAGTATTGTAGAGAACATCTTATTAGTTCAAGAGATAGTCCATGATATCAGAATAAGGGGTAAGTCTGCTAATGTTGTTATCAAACTAGACATGGAAAAAGCTTATGACAGAGTATCTTGGATATTTTTTGACTAAAGTGCTCAGAAAAATAGGTTTTGGGGAGATCCTAATAGATATGATTTATAGAATCGTATCCAATAACTGCTACTCAATACTAGTTAATGGACAACCTCATGGTTTCTTTAAGTCCACAAGGGGAGTGAAACAGGGTGATCCCTTATCACCAAATTTATTTATACTGGCTGCAAAATGTTTATCTAGAGCTCTTAATGCACTTCATTGTAAGGAGGGGTACAAGGAATATGGAATGCCAAAGTGGAGTCCATATGTGAACCATTTAGCTTATGCAGATGATATTATCATATTTGCATCAGCAGACAAATATTCTTTAGAGTTGATAATGAACACCTTGTTAGAGTATGAAAAGGTAATAGGACAACTAATTAACAAAGCAAAAAGTGTGGTCTCAATGCATCATCTCACCCCCAAGCTATAGTGGATCAGGTATATGTTGTGACAAAAATTCCAAAGAAAGATTTTCCTTTCACCTATTTGGGTGTTCCAATGTGTCATAGTAGGAGACAAAATATTTTCTACAAAGAACTTTTGGATAAAATCCAAAACAGATTGAGTTCCTGGACAAGAAATATCTTATCTATAGGAGGAAGGACAACTTTGATAAAATGTGTCATGCAGAGTATGTCTATTCAATTATTATCAGCATGTGACCCTCCAGTTGAAGTCATAGCCCAACTACACCGAATGTTTGCTAAATTCTTCTGGAGAAACTCAGTTGAAAACTATAGTAAACACTGGGCAACTTAGACAACATTATGTCATCCATATGAAGAAGGTGGAGTGGGTTTCAGAAGTCTTCAAGATATATCTAACGCACTATTTCCAAAGCTATGGTGGAACATGAGAACTAAAGAATCATTGTGGAGAAGTTATATGAGCAACAAATATTTGAAAAAACATCATGCAGTGGTGGTACAAGCTAAGACAAGCACATATATCTGGAAGAAAATGATTAAATGCAGAGAAGAAGTAGAACCCAAAATTTGGTGGTCAATTAAGCAAGGTAATTTTAATTTTTGGCTAGATAACTGGACAGGTTTGGGTGCTCTGCATAAAATTATTCCCCCAGAATTTGAGTACGACCAAACAGTTATTCTAGTCAAAGAAGTGGCAGAAACAGGACATTGGAATGAACAAACTTTAAAAGAATTACTTCCTCAAGATTTGGCAGATCACATTGTACAAAGAATCAGTCCACCCAAGGACAGTGAAGAGTTTGATAGACATTATTGGAAATTGGAATCTAGGGGAAAGTTTACCGTAAGTACTGCATTCCAGAAAGTAAGACAAAAAAAAAAGATAACAAGGTGTACAACCTCATGTGGATCAAAGGCATGCCTATTAAAATCTGTTTTTTCATGTGGAAATCCAAACTACCCCTAGATGATACATTGAAGAAGTGGGGAATTCAATTCCCTTCAAGATGTTATTATTGTTAAAATCTTAAAGTAGAAGACACTTCTCATTTATTCCTACACTCCCCCGTAGCTCAAATGGTATGGAAGCACTTATGTGGGCTAGTAGGAATCAACGCGGAGAACATGCAGCTATCCCAACTTATTAATTTATGGTGGGAGATCGATGCACATCACCAGATTAAGTATATATTTCAAGTTGTCCCCTCTATCATAGTATGGGAGTTGTGGAAAAGGAGAAACACAATAAGACATGGGAATAAAATCTCTAGTAACAAGGTGATCTATCAAACTTAGCATACATTGATTCAATTCATGAAAACTAGGAGGAGAAACTGCACGTACATCCCATACATATGGGCAATGGTGGTAGAAGCTATTCATAACTATAATCCAACAGTAAAGGTAACTAGAGTTATTTGGAGACCACTAGATACTGGTTAGATTAAAGTTAATACCGATGGAGCATCTAAAAGAAACTCAAGAAGAAGCTCTTGGGGTTTTAGTGTGAGAAATAATAAAGGGGATATCATACAAGCTCAGGCTAAAGAGATTGATGAACCTGTAAGTACTAATACACAAGCAGAAACAACGGCACTCTTACATGTTTTAAACTACATAAAGACAACACAACGAGACAAGGTGATTATAGAAACGGATTCTCTAGTACTTAAAAACATTGTGGAAAGAGTGTGGAAAGTACCATGGAAAGTAGTGAATATTCTGGAGGAAATATGGAAGCTCATGCAAGGGAAAACATTAATTATATCACACATTTTTAGAGAAGGGAACAAACTAGCCGATTACCTAGCTAACCTAGCCCTAGAGAAAGGGACAATTCAGGTGAACTGTTTTCAAGAATTAGAATCTCAAATCAAGAGAATAGTGAACAGTGATAAACTAGTGGTACCCTATCTAAGAATCAGACAATGCAGAAAATAAACATATACTAGAAGCAGAGGAGGTACAAAGCTAAACAAAACATATCAAAATGGACAAAAGAACAACAATAAGATATGGACATACATACAAGTACAAATGGTGAACCACTGCGGTAAACACAAAAAGCAGACAACTCAAATAGAAGGGGCAACACTGACCAAATTGAGGATTGAGCAGTGGTGGCATCAACATCGTATGATGTTCATTTTACTTCTCAAAAATCAATGGAAATCAGTAAAATCCTAAAATCCCAACAGAGAGAGCTCACCCAACAGTCACAGGGATACGATATATAAACCAAACAAACAGAGCTCAGAACAACAAATAGTAACACAAAATCAAGGAAATCAAAAAGAGAGGATGAAGGACATACCTTGGTGGCAGAATCTCGACATCAAGTTAAGATGGTCCTAATCAGGACAAAATCGGTGAGGAGATGGCTGACCATGAAGTGTCTGGACAGTTCCAATTTCAAATTTCATTTTAGTGCTTTTAGAAATAGAATTTATTTGGTTTGTTTTTTTTTTCTATTTTTTTTTTTTTTTTGTAGGGTCAATTTTGATCCATCTTTTGAACATTAGCCCAATGGGCATGCAATTAATTAAGGAAAAAAGGTCAAAAATACCCCTTAACTTTATTTTATTGGTTAACTATCCCCTTATCGTTAAAGTGAAGTTATTTTTACCCCTGTCGTTACTAATTTCACCATATATACCCCTCATTTGACGGAAAGCCCCAAATCAACCAAAATTATCCAATTTCAATTAAAATGACTTGTTTCTCTTTTAATCCAAACCCGACCCACTAAACCAAATTAATTCATAATCAATTAAAACCTTAAACCCATTTGTTTAATCTTCTTCATCTCCTTCCACCATTAAAACACTTACTACTAAAATCGTCAAAGATACTTTGCTCGATTTTTTTTTGAAACAATTTCATCATTTCATTTTTAACATGGGAATTAATAAAACAAATCATCACCAAATATATAGAGTTCTTAATACTGTCACATTTGGAATAACACAAATTGAAAGAAAGAACAATGTTCACCCAAAAATTATTAATAACTAAAAAATTTTAAAAACAATAAGATCAGAGTTTGAAATGAGAGTCAAATAATTCACCTGAAACGCAGTAAAATATAACAACAAAATGAGCAAAACAATAAAAGAAAGTAATTTTTAACGTAGTTGATTGTTGTTGTCGAAGCTGGAGGGATGATGAGTTCTGGTTTGCTGAAAATGCAGATTTGCAATCTGCAAAACAAACAAAATCGTGAAAGGGAAGGGGAAGAGAAGCAGCAACGATGGTGGTTTATTGTTGTTATTGGGTTTCACGAGCTCATGGAGTTGATGATGTTTGCGGTGATTTTTCCGTGTCAATGAGGCGGCGGCGGAAAGGGTTGTTTTGGGGTGGTGATTTTTGGCGATTTGGAGGTGAGTGGTGGTTGTTTGGAGGTGTTTCCGATGTGATTCACCGGAGTTTCTGATTGGAGAAGGAAGATGGGTTGAGGGAAGTCGACCAGTGGGGTCGATTTGGGTGTTTTCTGGTGACATTTTGGCTGGAGAAAAGAGGCAGTAAAGGGTGGTATGGTTCGCCGGAGTTGGCGTCTGGTTGTGAGGTGGTTTACGGATTGTTTTCTGCCGGAATGGGCAGGTTTCAGGTGGGTTTGGTCGCCGGCCGGAAAGTGGGTGATGGTGGCTATGAAAACGGAAAAAATTGGGTCGTTTAGGGGTGGTTGTTTGGTGGCTGGACAGCAATGTGGAGAGAAGAGGTTGGTCGGAAAAATGGGAAAATAAAGGCTGAAGTTATTGCTTCTTCATCCCCAATTTTCCCTTTGTTCATCTCTTAGGTTAAGTGTTAGAGGGTCAGGCATGGGTTTTAAAATGGGTAACGGTTCGATTTTTTAAGATTCTAGTTAATTTAAGTTGATTTGTGGCTTTCTGTCA